CCTCATCAACTCCTTAATATAAAAGAAGTCGTTCATGGGAAGAAAGGGGAGCACAACAACCCTAGACACTTTCACCAACCCTATAGACTTTCCATCCTGTTTTAGAGAGAGAAATCCCATTTTATGTGTGTCATAGCTCAGTATTCATTCTATACAACATGAAAACACACTCCATAGCCTTTATACAACCCTCAAGGATGTTTATAACACTTGGACAGTCACTTCCACTTAGTTCAAGCCATACTTCACTTTGAATTGCAAGTTCTCTTGAATTTGTCACCACAGATTCTTATCAGTCTAGATAGTCAACCCGCAATCTTCCTCTAGAGATTCACTATAAGGAAAAAGGTCTTTATTGATAGAAAAATTGACAGAATTTCTTGACTGTTTTTAAAAAGGGTCAAGAAATATTTTCCTTGACAACTTCTTGATCGTTTTTTAATTGTCAAGATTTGATACAATCCTTGACTATTTTATCTAATCCTTAACTGTTATTAACTGTCAAGGATCATGTAAAAATTAAGATGTTCAATTTAATTCCTTGACTGTTACAGTCTTAATCCTTGACAGTTTATAATGGTTAAGGATTTTGGAAAAATGAAGTTAATTTCTTGACTAATATATTCTTAATCCTTCACAGTGATTAAGTTTAAAAAAAAAAAAAAAAAAAAAAAAAGAAGGAAATCTGAAATTTGGCTCCAAGGCTTCCCACCCTAAAATTTTCTAAGGCAAAATTTTCCGCCCAAAACACCAAAGTCCCTTCCAATCATTGTCAACACTCAAAACCCATTTCCCCCCAAAATTCTGCAAAGTCAAAAGTAGGGCAAGAAAACTGCTACAAAAAACTAAAGTGTCTTCCACCCAATCTCCTCCACTAAACTAATAAGAGCCCGTAAACCCTAAATCTCATCCACTAAATAGCCCAAGTTTCTTCCACTAAATTGCCGAAATCTCTTCCCTTGAGCCGCCGAAATCTCTTCCATAGATTGTTTCTACAGGTCCCGATAGCAACAACAATCAGTGAAGTTGTCACTTCGCCACCTCCGCCGTCGCAAACCATCATCGGTAAGATTGTTGTTTTCTTCCTAAAATCTTTTCGTGCCTTCACTAAATTTGGGTGAGAATAATACATGCATTACTACTGTCTTTTGATTTAATGTGAGAATAATGTCACATTGTGAGAAATCTTTTCGTGTCTTAGAATATACACTGAACAAAGTATTTACTTGGGTGTTTGTGGTTTATACTGGCAGAAACCCAACAGGCTTTCATTTACACCTTAAAAATAGAAAACTTGATTAATATATAATCATTTGGGACAGTCTAAACAATATAGTAGTCCATTTTCATTTAGCAATTAATTAGGCATATTTAACACCAAAGAAGATAATGCATTATGGTTAGTAAGTAGTGTAAAGTGAAAATGAAATGATTACATGTGTTGTGTTACTGCAGAATCACTATCAATTTGTTTTGATATAAGTAGTTACTGAATTTGTTACTGTAATGATATTTTGAATGTTGTTGCTTTGAATTCTAGATACAATCTTTGAGATTTATAGATTAGTAGATAAAGTACCATTTTGAAGTGCATTTGAAAATACTTTAGAATGTGTAGAAGGTACGTCCTCTTGTAGATTGAAGAATTCCAAGAAGAATTGTTATATGGCTCATAAGCGATTCTTCCTAAGAATCATCCATTTCGGAAACAAAAGAAAGCTTTCAATGGTGCTCAAGAGTTTGATTCTCCCAATGACCCTTTGAGTGGGATAGAATTGTTGAGACAACTTGAAGGCATTGAAAATGTGTGGGGAAAGAACTTGCCGAAGAAACGTAAATTATGTGAAGACGGCAAACATAAACTATGGAAGAAGAAATCCATATTCTTTGAACTTGAATATTGGAAACATTTGTATGTTCGTCATCAACTAGATGTCATGCAGATTGAAAAAAAATGTGTGTGAAAGCATTTATGGTACATTGTTGAATATACCAGGGAAAACGAAAGATGGGTTTAACACATGATTAGATCTTTGTGATATGGGGATCAGGAAAGAACTGGAACCACAAGTTTGAGGGAAACATACTTGGTTACCTCCAGCATGTTACACTATGAATAAAGTGGAGAAGTGAAAGTTTTGTGCAAGCTTAGCAAATCTCAAAGTACCTGTAGGGTATTCTTCAAACATAAAGAACCTTGTCTCGATGGATGATTTAAAGATTCATGGTTTGAAATCTAATGACTGTCATATACTTATGCAACAATTGCTACCGTTAGCCATTAGAGCTCTTTTGCCCAAGAACGTGAGATATGATATCATTAGGTTATGCTTCTTCTTTAATGCACTGTGTAGTAAGGTTGTTGATGTGGGCAGGTTAACCAAGATACAAAGTGATGCTGTTGTGACATTGTGCTTGTTAGAGAAATATTTCCCTCATTCATTATTTGATATCATGATACATTTGACAGTGCATCTCATTAGAGAAGTTAGGCTATCTGGACTTGTTTGCTTTAGATGAATGTATCCTTTTGAGAGGTATATGAAAACACTTAAAGGTTATGTGAGGAAAAACAATCAGCCAAAGGGATGCATTGCAGAGTGTTATGTAGCAGAAGAAGCGTTAGAGTTTTGCTCAGATTACATGGACAGTGTCAAACCAATTGGTGATCCAAATGCTTTTGTTGACAAATTAACATATTTTGGCAAGCCTTTATCGAGTGGTCAATCAACACTTGTGGATAGTCAAATATTACAGCGAGCACATCTCTATGTGTTGCTGAATATAGTTGAAGTTGAGCCTTGTATTGAGTAACGATTATCCCTTTCTCATTTCAATTTCTTTGTATAGTTCAATTAATTGTGTTGAGTAATTTAATTGCATTTATATAGGGAACATATGGACATGTTAAAGAAATAACATCACTGTCAATCTAGAAACCCAAAATGGTTACAAGCTCAACACATTCGCACCTTTGCACATTGGCTACAAGATAAGGTGGATCAAGCTTCCCCATTTTTTTAGTCTTCTTTAACCAATTTATTACACTTTGTGATATAGACTACTTATAAAACAAGTTTCAATTTCTTTGGCCAATGCTGATGAGATATCAAACACTTTGTGTTGCCTAGCACAAGGACCTCGTCCTTTTGTTATGAAGTTCTAGGGTTATGTTATTAATGAATTTCAATTCAACACACGAGCCTATGATATTGATAGAGTTACACAATGTAGTGGGGTTAGCCTAGTCGCACATACAATGCAAATTGCAAGTGCTAAGGATAAGAATCCCATATATGGTGATGTATCATTCTATGGAGTTATAGATGAAATATGGGAACTTGACTATCACATGTTTAATCTGCCTGTATTTAAGTGTGATTAGTTTAATAGTAACAGTGAGGTGAAAGTAGATGATCTGGGTTTTAACTAGTAAACACAAATAGATTAGGTCATAAATCCGATCCTTTCATGTTGACTTCTTAAGCTAAACAAGTTTTTACACAGCAGACTAATTAGATGAAAATTGGGCTATTGTTTCTGTGATACCAAAGAGAATGTATAAGTCCGATTTGAATAATGAGATTGATGATCACATGCAATTTGAAAGCATAGTTGATGCACAAGCTTCTTTGTTTATTGATGGTGGTGATAACAATGATTTTTTGTATACACGCTTGGATGCTGAGGGCATTTGGGTTGAATAAATTCAAATAATTTCTAAATTTTTGGTAAGATATTAATTCAATTTGTTTGTTCATGCATTACATTGTTTTAATTTCTTATAATTTCAGTTATTGCATTGTTCATACATTACATTGTACTTATATTCACTACATTTGAAATTTTCAGGTTTTTAAAGACTTTTTGGACAGGCTTTTTTGGTAGGAATTTTGTTTGACATGTTTCAAATGAAAATGAAGGTGAAGGAAGCCCTAAACGAGAAGATGGAAAACCAGAGAGGAAAAAATAGAGGGGCCCAACAAAGAAAGGCAGGCCTAAAACAAAACTGACAGTAAAGTATAACAAAAGAGGTGTTCTTATCGGACCCGAGGCTATAGAGTTAGCCACATTTGAAGGGATGGTAGCTTGAACTATGGTTCTCATTATTTATGATGACTGGCGATGTGTGTCAGAAGACTTGAAGAGAAAAATATGGGATTTTATGTGTGTAAGTTACTAAAACTTGTACCTAAATCGAAATAATACAATGATTATATGTCATGAATCTTAATACTTACTATTTTTGTAGGAACATTTAGGAGTCGAAAGAAAATGCTTCAAGACATTGGAGTAAAGTGGAGGTCGTTCAAATATACTTGAACAAGCATTTCGTTATTCCCTTTGTGGATAATAGGAGTAAATTGGTGAGACCTCCACCACAGTACAACTTCATTAGGAAGAATTTGTGGCTAAGCAATCATTGAAAAACTTTAAGGTGAAATTTCCAAACAATCAACTGCTTTAATAAATTTATCTAACTAGTTGGATGTCACAAACCATTGTATTTATTTAGGCAAACATTGAGCACTAAGCAAAAGGAAAAACGAGCTAAGAACAAATACAACCATAGATTTTCCTGGAAGGGATGCGTTAATCTTATTGAAGAAATTGTAAGCATTTTAATCTTATTGAAACATTGTGTTATTACATGACTAATATGTGTTTGTTAATATGCATGTTTTGTGATTAATTTTCTATAGAAACAAGAGATCGGGTTGACTGAAGAGGAAATTGATAGAAGCTTGACATGGAAATTGGCTAGAAAAAGAAAAGGAGGAGGTTATGACTCAAAAGTGGCCCAGATAGTGGAGAAGATTGTAAGTGATGAATTATGTTATTATACAATTCAATATACTTTTGTTTATGGGCTTTAGAAACAAGCTTAATTATTATGTCTTGAGACTAAGGCAAAGACTGGATCATTGGAAACAGATGGCAAAAATGACATCCTCAGTCAAGCATTGGGCACCAAAGAACATCTAGGGTCAGTACAAGGTATGGAGAAGTTTATCACCCATGGGGTGTACTTTGAGTTTTCGAAAAATGTTAGAGATATGATGACAGGGGAAAGAGATGAATTTATTAAGAAGTTTAATGCTTTGGAGGAGAGATTGGAGAAAATGTCCAATCAATTGAATAATAGAAGTTTGATGTTTCATGCGGGAAGCAATCATCAGCCATTGAAAGGCAATGCTCTATTGGCCAAATTGGTCGTAGTGGTAAGATCTAAACCTTTGGTAAACAAGATATCAATGACATGTTTATTTAACATTAATTTTTTTTAACATTAATTTTTTGCCACTCTATTAATGTAGGATAATACTTGCTACCTTGTCGTGGATTCCTCGATAAACATTGTGGCGAAGGGGACTATTATAGAATATAAAGGTCCCAACGTATGGGTGACTGTGGATGTGGTGTTTGATGGGAGCCCATCTCTCCCATTCCCAGATGATGAAGAATTTTTGGTGAAGGTAAACAATGCGATTAGCCATCGTCTACTTTGGCCGAAGGAACTTGTATTACGAGCAGCTAACATGGTGAAAACTGCAATCATCTCCTTACTTGTTCCAAATTAGTTGTGTTTTATTCATAATATTATGTTATAATACTGACTTGTTTTTTAATGTCTACTAGGTTTTTAAGAAACTTCAGAAGAAGAAGTATATAACTCCAGAAAAAGTGGCTAAGAAATCAGAATCTATGTATAACAAGGTAGATTTTGATATGAGGATTGAGAACATTGACTTGGTGGGTAATGAATTCGCAATCACACCGGTTAAGTCAGAGCCTAAACAAATGAAGCTGGACAAAAAGCACACAAATCTTAGGAAGAGAAAGGCTGATGTGACACTATTAAGAAAGAAAAAAACACGACAATCAATGGTGTTCAAGAGACGTAGAGTGCAGAACAATTCTTCTCTGAAGATGTTCTCAACTGTGGTTAATCATTTTCTACTCGATAAGCAAACACTTCATGTGCAAACAGATGACAATTTGTTTGGGTATGAAAGCTATACTTACGTATCTAAGAAGGATTTTGAAAGAGTGCTTGATATGGAGGAGTTGACAGCCTCATGCATCACAGTTTATATAATGTAAGTTGTTTGCTTATAGTAGTGATTATGATTTAATCTTCATTGAGGTTTATACTGCATATTGTTGTAATTTTGGTATTTTTTTGAATTGGGGCAAGGCTTTATATGAGAAGTTGAAGGGTAATGGGGGCAATGTAAATGAAATTGGTTTCATGAGCCCCAGCTCATTGTCAATAGTAGGTAGCACTAACACCATAGGAATAAGAACCCAAAGGGCACAATTGCTTGCCAATCGGTTAGCAAATGTGAAGAACGAGAATTTAATTATAGTGCCATACAACCTAGGGTTAGTAATTCATTGATTTCCTTACTTTTAATCTTGTTTAAATAATCTATTTTTAAGATTTAAAAACAATGTTAGTGGAGGGTGCTTAGGTGTTATTTGCATGTGAAGAATCAAATGGTTAGTGGAAGGAATTGCTGGGACTATAGTATGTTACTTTCCTTTTATTGTTGATAATTGTTATGGAGTGGTGGTTAGGTGTTATTTGCGTGTGAAGAATCTGCAGTAGAGGGTGGTTAGGTGTTATCTACGTGTGAAGAATCAGGTGTGGAATGGTAATTAGTTGTTCTGTTTGAAGGGATATTAGGGTTTAAACATTCAAGTAGTTTGAAGGGATGGTTGTGTAGTTGTTGGCGCCTGCATATATTTGCGTGTGAAGAATCTGCTTTTGCTTTGCTTTCTTAGTGAAAAATCTGCATAAATATGGCTTCATCAATTTCAGTTCAATTTTGATCATTTATGATGTTCGTGATTAAATTTGATTATTATGACATATTAGGATTCAAACATTATTGAGAGTGCATTTGTTGCTAAATTGTGCCATATTCAATGTCTGATTTCAGTCCATAAGATCATATCCCCAAACATGAATTTTGAGTGTTGATTGTATACTCTAGTGTGAATCTGAATATAATATATTGTCTTCATGTTGAAATCTTATTTCATTTTTGTTTTGGGTTGATAAACTATTACTTGGTGATTATTCTATTACTTCTTTGTGGTTGTTGTGTTGGGTACTTATGCAATTTTGTTCATAGGTTTCATTAGGTTCTTGTTGCTATTGACATGAAGACTTTAACTGTGTACTATCTTGATTCATTGAGGGGAGATATTGGGCAAGATTTACAGGAAGCAATGCAAAAGTTAGTATTTCTACTTATGTCATTTTTTAAGCTCTATATAATATCAAATACTGTGTGTTAATTTCAAAAGTTGTTTTAACTTTCACAGTGGTATCTTAATCCATTCTGCCCGGAAGGTGTCCAAAAAAAGAGCTAATATCTCGTGGCAAAAAGTATTGGTGTGTAGAATTGTTATTATCAATAGCAATTAATTTTTAGTTATAGTATTGTTTTACCTTTTGAATATTCATGCTTATTTCCGAACTAATTTTGTGTAGGGACCCATTCAACTGGGATGAGTTGAATGTGGGTTTTATATAATGAGATATATGAGAGATATAGCCGAGAATGGGTTGGCATTATTGAAAAACAATGTAAGTCTTTTTTTTATTATTATTATTATTTTTTTTGTTCGTTTTGAATAATAAGATATAGTTGATATTTGTTTATCAGTCTTATTGTGTTTTGTAAAACCCCTCTCCAGTCAGGTATCCTCTGAATATCCATCAATGAGAATCCGGGGGATACATGTCTGGAGAATAAATTGTATTTAGAAAAACCTGTGTAAGTATAATAATAACAATAATAATATCCAAAACATTCATATAAGATGTCACGTAGGATCTAAACTTATAATCTTAAAAACTTTAAGAATTTATTTGGACATTACACAATCAAAACATATTTATAAGGTGGAAGCTTCCAAAGGTGTTTCACAAACATTTATCATTTACATAATTATTTACATCAAGATGACAATAAATCATCTCCCCTCACGTGTAGCCCTACTGTCTCTAGCATCCTTTGCTTCTGGTCTATCTGCAAAGCAATCAATAATGAAAGGGTGAGCGCTAATCGCTCAATAAGGAATGATCTATTTCATTCTAAATGTGCTATTTGACCTTCATTTAAACATATTTGTTAACACACCACTTATCTTTTACATCTAGGTGTACTTCCCTTTTCTTACTAATTCATATGTTTTTCATCATTTTATCCTATGGCTATATAAACATCAATATGTACTGTAATACTTTCTCTCTAGCCAGTATACTCGGAAAATAAACAATATTATAAGAAAATATATAAATATAGATGAGTATGAAATAATGGGCCCATAATTAATTTTTCTTTATATACAAATCTTTATATAATATAATAAAGTCACAAAATACTATCTCGACAGTGTCGCCAAACCCTTCCGCTTCTTGACGTTCCATGCGACCGCGTCTCACCTACTACCTGCAAAAACATTGAAAAAAACGGGGTGAACACTAATTGCTCAGTAAGTAAACCCATTATGCTACCCTTCTCTCTCTCCGTTGCTTAAATTCTAAATTTCTTTCCTTGCATCACACTTCTCTATTCTTCTCTATTCTTTCTCTGTTGTTTCTCTATTCTTTCTCTGTTGTTTCTCGACTCTTTCTCACTACTCATGATAATAGGCATGGTATTATGCATAGGTATGATGCAAATGCAAAAATGCATAGAATGTGCATTTTGTTTTCTATTTTTCTTATTCTGTTTTTTGTTTCTTTTTCTGTATTTGTTTCTTTTCTTTCTATTCTTTCTTTCTATTCTTTCTTTCTTTCTTTTCTATTCTTTCTTTTCTTTTCTTTTCTTTATATTCTTTCTTTCTATTATTTCTTTTCTTTTCTTTCTTTCTATTCTTTTTATTCTTTCTTTCTTTCTTGCTGATTGAACTCGGTTGAGGCATGGATTTGGAACCCTGGCCGTGTGAGTGTATTCTCTAATTCTGGGTACAATCCTAATCCATATGCACTTCTAACAGACTGTACAATTCTTCTTTCTGAATTTTGAGGCCGCTCATTAAAGGCGACGTGCATGCGGGGCTATGTCACTCGCGGGTTCCCCATCACAACAACCTTCTCTTCTTTTATCTTTTTACACTTCTTTAAGTAAAAATTCAGATTTGAATTTCTTTAATATTCTCATTTCTTTCTATTTACTCTTTAATGTTCTTTAATGTTTTTTCATGCTCTTATGAGTATGTATGCATGTAGATGGGTTCATGCTTATAATTCTTTCTAAATTCACATGTTTAGATGCAATAATGCAATATAGAATGCAAACATGTCATTCTCTACCATCTACTAACTCATCTCAAGATAACACATAATCATACTCATACATGCACTTCTCTTTGACGTTTCATCAAACAATTTATGTGCACACCCAAGCTCTAAATTGGCTACACTTCTACTTCTTTTTTAAGCCACCAAAATTTGGAACAAAATCCTCAAAGATTAACGCCAAACCTATCCAAGATGTACACTCCATAATTTCTACTTCAATTCTTCCATAATTCATCCAAACTCTCATCAAACATCAAATACACAAACACTACTTCTCATGGATAAGTTCTAACCATCATTCAACATCAAATCCATCAACAATTCTTCATATAAAAACACATATATGCATAAAAAAAAATTTGTTACACAACATTGCTTCAATCATAACTAGAGTAGGATTTACTTACTTTAGAGGTGAGCAATTTTATGAACACAAATCATAAAAATTCAACACTTTAAAAATTAAAACTCACTTCTTAGTGCAAGGATCTTACCTAAGGATGCTTGGGATTGAAATTCCACTAAAAATAACCCAAAATCTATGAATTTCTCTTGAAAAAGAATTGAAGAAATTGAGAGAATTCGGGGATGAAGGTGGCGTGAAAGTGGAGGAAGAATGGCTAGGGTTTCATTCTTCCACTCTTGATATAACATAATATTATTTATAGTTTCCCATTTTACCCTTGCACTTTCTATAAAATTTCATCTATGTCCTTTAGTCAATTACCATAATGCCCTCATTTTTACTGCATTCTTCATGAAATTCTATCTCTTTTCACTCCCCACATTTTCAACTAATTATGAATGAAAAGACCATTTTACCCCTAATGACAATTTAAGGGATTTTCTTCACACTTTTTCAAGATAACTTTAACAAAATTCAACTAAGAGTATAAGGGCATAAGTAAAGCTACGTACCTCGATGTGGGCGTTACAATTACACATACAAATAAGTATGTAAACATAGTACACACACATTACATGTCATGATATAACATCTAAATATCATCTAACATGAGTATAAATTATCTCATGATGTAAATAACATCATAACTCATATAATGCAACTAAATGCATATGAACCATTTAACGTCTAGCCGATCAGACTTTTCTTAGCGTCTTAAGCACTTCATATCATCTAGCCTCAAATTCATCTAGAGCTCATATCATCGGGAGGCGTACTTGTGCGTTATTTAGCATCTAAAACATATATTCATCTTTCCTCAACCGGTATACGAGGATATGCTTACGTGTTTTCTATTATGTCTATATGTATCTCTAACATCTTATGGCATGTAAATACATATTTTAGTGAGCTTAATACTTTTGATTCATCTATGGATTATCAATCCATTTACAGTACCTCTTGCTCACATTCATCATCTTAAAACATGTATTACATTGCATCTTCATGCCATTTCATAACATTAATCATGCATTGACATCATGACCATGTATATCTTTCAAAGATTATCTAACTAATGGGTAAACATTAGTATATGGCTTAATCATATCAGTATATAATCAATTCATAATCATAAGAATTAATTATGTTAAATCTTAAACTTTAATAACTAGAAGCTTATTCTTCAGGCCATTTTCCATCCATTTCCTAAATGAATTTGCTCTTGGCCTAAACATAAAAGTTATAGGTTATGTCTTAACTTTCTAATGCTTCAAGAATCATCTCATTTTGGTTTTATAACTCAAGTTATGGTTGAAATACTAAAGCATGTTTAACATAACCCCTAAACTTACCAAATCCGAATTTTTCATATTAAACTATGCCACATCAATTCCTATTGACAATTAACCAATAGGTCAATTTATGGATCAAATAAATCTCACCTTAATAGTCTTTAACATCTTAAAAGAAGTGTAAAACCTCATTCCCATAATCATCCATTATTGCTATAACATTTTAAGCTAATGCAATCAACATATCAACACTTCTAATAGCAACCATTCAACACCATGTGGCCACCAATACTACAAGTTTTGCCACAATCAACATCAATACTTCATTTTCTTCAATTAAACATAATAACTCATAAAACATAAATGGCAATAACTTCATGTATAATGAATTCAAGCCAATAAATAAAATTAATGAGTTCAACTACACTTGCCATCAACTAATTCTATGTCTTAAAGCTTTAATTTAAGGTTTCATTAAAATCTACCAACGCTAGCATAATCTTTAAAGTCATGAGAGGTTATTCCTTACCTTTTTAAAGAATTCCCCCACCGAATCCTTTGCCTTTATCTTCTTTTACACTTTAATCCTATATATATAACATTATACCTCAACATCTATATCAAATCTTCAAATCACATCAAAACTAGGGTTTTTAATCCTTACCTTAAACCCTTCAATTTGAAGATCCAAGGCTTCTATCTTGTTCTCCTTAAAAAATTATGCAAAAATCCTTTAAAACTTAGAGAGAGAAAGCTTGTTTCATGGCAGATTTGAGAGAAAATTGAAGAAAGGTTGAAGAAATGATATCTCTCATGGGTTGAACGAATTTCCTCTTATTTATAGGAAAATATTTAATTAATTTTTCAAAATTATGCTATTGGCCCAATTATTTTAATTGTATAACTCATAAGTCCTTAATTCTTCATATAAGGGCATTTTGGTCATTTGGCACTAAACATAATTATTACTTAATTAATGCCATTAAATGCAATTAAGCCCACTCATCCTTGACTTTCTAATGCTTATCTATAGGCAAAATGACTATTTTGCCCCTAATACCCTTTTATGGATAATTGATTCATACCGTTTCAAATGAATTGACTATTCTACCCTTAGTTAAATTTTATGCTATTTAACATAAAATCAATATCTAAATGACTATTTTGAGTTGGGAACATACCTTTGACATCTTGGGTATTACATGTTTACTTTTATAGT